GCTCTCATTGGAATGAGGAGTGTCATCTCTATTTATACTAATCTCCTCATGTCTCTCTAGAACTCTCTATACACTACAAAATTTCTAGAGTCTTTCAAGAAGTATTCACGAGCTTCACTAATCTTCTGGAAGGATATAACGAACTCCACATTTCTTCTGAGTGCTCTAGAGACTTCCACACATTTTCACTTAGTTCTAGAGGATTCCACACTTCTCTAGAAAATTTTACAATGTTCTAGAATATTCTACACTCTTCCACACGCTTTTAGATAATTTCACACTTCTGTAGAACGGTACAGAATATTTATAACATTCAATACTTCTCTACACACATCTGAGAATTTTGGTCATCTCCGCGGTATTCAAGAGTACTTATTAACCTCTCAGTTAAGGAGAGATCCCAACATGGCGGTGATCCAATTTGAAATGAAGGGTAATTTTAAACGTGTGGGGAGTAGTGTTGGTTGTTTAATATCTCCATTTTCATTAGTATATATTAAAAACTAATTTTCTTTATGGTGTTTATGTTACTTATAACAGACAGATCATGCAAAAAGTGAAGCTTAAGGTAGTCAAAAACTCAAGTAAAGATGTGGCTTTAGTTTTATATTATCAAAGAAAGGCATTGCAAAAAGATCTAATTTAAAATACATTTATTGTCTTATCACAGACAACTACTAATTATTTTGGACAATCATACTCCGTAACATTAGTTTTCGTGCACACATCATAAACATGTGTACAAATTTCATAGATGAGCAATCAATGTATTTTCACATAAAATAGTTCTTTGTATAAATAGTTTATAAATTTATGATAAAATTTTCTCCACACAGACACAAATTGTTTCCACATGCATAATCAACGTCTTCTCACAGACATGAATGATGTTTGTAACTAATTTATAAGCTTTTCTGATATATATCTTCAAATATACACGACTTGTCTATGACCTAGTCTCGCTTTATATCGAGACTCCATGTGCATGAAAAGTGTTAGTAAATGTGTATAAATTTCTTTTTCCAAGTGGGTGCAAAATGGAAAAGTTTGGAGATCATAGAGTTAATTATAATCCTAATGTTGGGATCCTCATTTTTGAGAAACTTTCCATCCCTTTTCCTATTTGTGGTCCAAACATATTCGTGTATGTTGCTCTGATGTTGAATAATTTTAACAAAATTAATGATGAGCTTGATTTTAGATTTATTGTGTGGTAAGGTTTGTAGAAAAAGTTATTATACCATTGTCCCTGGTTTCAAATTTCATCTTGATATAATATCGCCAAATACATTTACTCAAACCAGTTTTGAGTTAAGCACTTCTTTAATTAAATCAACGTTGGTCTAAATGAGTTATTTCTCAATTATCTATCAACCAGTTTTGAGTTTGTTTGTGGGGAAGTTCCATGTCAAACCACAAATCCTACTGGGTGGAATGCCACTTTCAAGATACAAAGCCCAATTTCAAAAAATAAGAACTACAGGTTGGACGGTTGTGAATGAAGAAAACAAGAGTGAACTCTAGACATATTTGAGTGAGACCATATATATTCAAGGGAATTAATTTCACTTTTAAACTTCTGAGTTTTATATCAATTCTATATTTAGTCCACGTCTTCAACTTTTTCCACTTTTAGAGCATCTTTAGTGGCAATATGGATTGCCTATAAATGCATTGCCACATAAGATTGGGATAAAATTATGCTCTGCAATGGTAATATCGATTTCGGATGTTGTGCTGAGTTGGAATGGAAAAGGACCAACTCCGTCTACCTTCCCTTCTATTTTCAGGAGGGATGTCTAACAGCCACCTCAGCAAAACATTTATTGTAAAATACGAAGTAATTATTCCCCTTAAACATTTACTCCGTAATAATGCGGACTTCTGAGTTTTTTCCCTAAGAGGGGTGTTTTTCAAACTTATTTCCCAAACTAGGGCACTTCTAAACTTATTTCCCAAATTAGGGTAATTTTTTCCATGTCATCTCATTATCACCGCGGGTCGCCACATCAGCTTGTCCACGTCATCACTGCAATTCCATGTCATCCAATTTAAAGAGTTTAAGTGCTTCTAAAATTTTGGGAAAAAATGAATGTAATTGGGTTCGAACCTGCGCCAATCTTAATCAAGAGAGTTTTTACAAATACCACACCATTAGACTACACAACTCAGTTGTGACTATCTCGGCTTTTAAGATATTAAAAGTATAATACACTATCAATCGTATTGAGTTGGCAGATAAATAACTTCTTTTTTTAAAAATTACATAAAATACTACTCCGTAAATTTTAGGTAATTAAAAAATAAATACGTAATTAAAATTTAAAATAATTCACCCCAATTCAAATTTGGACATATTCATGTGAGAGAAAAAAATCATATATTCTCTCCGTCCCCTAACTTTGTCCCATTTTACCTTTTTCGTCAGTCCCATTAAGTTTGTCTCATACAATATTTGGCAATATTTGGGTGGTTACAATTTATTCTTACTTTATTCACACTTTATCAATTCAACACCAACCACACAATCCCACTTTTTCTTAAAATTTGTGCCACAATTCTTTGTCCCAAACATAGTGGGACGGAGTGGTAAAATTTATCTAAGACAAAAAACATGGTAAATTAATATATGCAGAGTTCTATGTACCGAGGCTAGGGGTGAGCATGGGACAGTACGCGACGGTTATTTTGAAAAACATGTCCAGTCCCAAAGTACGGTTCCGGTACACTTCTCACTAAGAACCGGTACCGTACCATATTATTAAAAAAAACTCAGTATGGTACGATATTACATTTTTCCGGTTCTATCGATTCTGGAACGGTTCGGGACGGTTCTTTGGTACGGAACGGGAATTCCCAGATCCGCGTTCAGCCTTAACTGAGGCCCTACCGAGCCAAGTTGAGTTGCTATAAAGAATTTTCATAAAGTATTTTCCAGATTTCAAACATGACAGTATTTTTTCAAACTTGGCAGTAATTACTCTTAATTTAGGGGAAAAAAAACATGACAGTCCTATTTTGGAATTTTCAAACTGTTTTAATCCTATTTCGAGAATTTTCGTTTTTTAGTTAACTATCTCAAATTAAGTTTTTTATTATTATAAGTTTTATTTAGTTTTTTAATTAAATATTTCAAATAAGTTTTTTAAATTTTTTTATTATAAGTTTGATTTAGTTTTTTAATTAAATATTTCAAATTAAGTTTTTTGTAATATTTTTTAATTATTTGGAAAAGAAATGCTCATAGTAATATATTTCTAATTAAAGGAACGAATATTAAAGGAACGAATAATATCTCAAGAGTATATGAGTTTAATACCACAAACGTCAATGATGTTACAAAACATTACAGTAGCCTAGTGGTTGGGTGTGTCGGGAAATTTTTTCGTCCAACAATTGACGCAGGTTCGAACCCAGTCGTGTTCTTTTTATCCTAGATTTTAGGAAACACATTACTCTTTAATTTGGATGACATGGAATTGCAGTGATGATGTGGACAATCTGATGTGGCGACCCACAGTGATAATGAGATGACATGGCAAAAACTACCCTACTTTGGGAAATAAGTTTAGAAGTGCCCTAGTTTGAGAAATAAGTTTGAAAAACACCCCTCCACTGGAAATAACTACTTCTTCCTTACCGGCAAGGCAGCAACACCACACCCGGCTGCAGTAGTAACCGAACCAGATAACCAACGTTCCAGCAGCGGTTATGATGTGGAGGGCCGGCGGCACTTCTCCTGTAGGTGGAAACAACGGCCAACCCCCCCTTTCCGGCGATCTTCTTTTCTGCCGATCTTCTTCTCCGGTTGATTTTGTTTTCAAGCAATCGAAAAGCATAGTTTGATGTATGGAGAAATTAGAGGTGTGCTAAAGATATTCCTCCAAAATATTATCCGTGTTGCGGTTACAGAGCATGCTAGGAGGAAGATTTTGACCGCCATGGATGTGGTTTGTGCTCTCTAGAGGCAAGCAATAATTAAAGACACCGTATGGAATGGAATTGATTTATGCTTCTATGTTAATCTGGATTTCAAAATCGATGTAGCTTTTGTGCATTTTGTCTTCGCTTTGAGTGAGTTGGTCAAGGGCAGAGTACTCTTCTAGCCTTCTAGGTGTTGTTGAGGTGTTTTTGCAGATGGCTCCGTTGGAGATGAAATATGATTATAACTGCTCGTGCCTCCAGATCAGCTTCACAGGGCATCGATAGAGATGACGTGTCCATTTTTTGTGGGATCCAATCCACATCTTTATTGGAGATGCTCTTAGTACTTGACTAATACGTAGTATTTCTTGACCATTTATGATCTTTCCATCCAATTTTTCCGGCAATTTTAATCATTAGAAATATCGACAAAAAAGACCATAAATGGGCGAAAATAATAATCATGTATTGAAAGTGATTCAAATAAAAGACATAGATCAAATGTGAAATTGATGTGATAATCATAAAAATAAAAATAGAATTTATTCATTTTCAAGAAAAGTAGAGTATATTTTAGTGTAATTTGAGTTTGATGTGATCAATTTGATTTTTTTTCGCTTTATTGCATGACCATCACTGGAGTCTGGAGGAATCCAAACTCGAAAAAAAAATCTAATCATTTGAGATCATTAACAGAGGGTCGGATACTCAGACTATGCGAAGTACAATGCATTCCTAAAATCTGAAGGGACTCAGACTTGACAAATCCGAAACAGTGTACCAAACAAACACTCTTCCCTAAGGTCGGAGTGAAATGTCTAACTTCAGTTTTAAAAAAGAAAAAACTATTTGTGCACATTTTTTATATACACCATCTTACACACGTCTATGAATAGCATGTTCATAGACACGTGATTTGTCTATTTTAATTGTACAACTAAAAAATAATTGCTCACAAGAAAAAATTGCTCACATACGTGTTTACAAAAAATGTGTATAAGAAGATTTTTTTTTAAAAAGAAAAAATTGACATGCTGTTGTATGCTTTCCATCTAAGAAAGCTAAAAATAAAAATCTAAGAACTAAGATTTTTTTATTGGTACTTTCCAAAATTAACATGATTAGTTCAAGTATGAATTTTTCCAACCTACTGTACAATCTCGTCTAGATTATAAACCTTTAACATTGTAAACAAACTTACAATGTTATGGGTCCTAATAATTAATATTGCAAATATGCAAAAATTGTGATGGTTGGGCATTCGGTATATTTGAATGATGAAATTTGCCTCTCTAACTTCACTACCAGCCTTTAAGGAGGTGCTTGGAAATACTTTTCTAAAGTGCTTATGCTCTTTCAAAAAGCACTTTGAAGCGGAATCAGAAATACAAGCACAATGAATTCCAAAGACCCCTTGACGTTATTATATAAGGCTGGTGTAGAGCTTTATTTATTTATTGAATGCTGAAGGTAATTGATAATAAGAACAAATGAAAGTGTACAATTTGCCATAACGAGTTAAACACCACAACATATTCGGTCACGTAGAAGAATTAGTGGTTGATTACGATTGAGGAAAGATCAAGCATCAGGGGGCGGGCAAATACTGTTATGGTCATGATGTCTTGTTGTGCAATCTAGCGTTCAATGTGCTTTCCCTGATGATCCAAAAAGACGCATTTTCTCTGCAACCACGGCTTTCATGGCTTCCTTTGCAGAGCTCATCACGTGAAGGAGGTCTTTTTTGGTGCTACTGAGCGTATCCATATAAGCCTTACGTACCTCCGTATTCACATTGAACTTTCTAACTCCTAACTTTATGCACTCCTGTGTACATGAATGAAATAAACCAACTTCAGGCACTTTTAACAGCATTCCTCAATGCAGGAGGTTGGAGGAGATGTGTTACAATGTCCAGTTGAGATGAAATATATAGGAGTCTTGATGAATACCTCAATGATTTCCTGCGACAATCCAGAAGCTCCATGGAGAACCAGATGAACCCCTTTCTTTGAACACAAACCGTACAGATCCTGTACACTCAATACAGTGACAAGGATTAGCATTCAGCAGCATGCTGCATTGTTGTCCCAAATTATATATAGATAATTGTAAAATTGTTAATGGTTGACTAGGAGTTTTTACATATTATAATTGTTTTTTTTTTGTTTTTTTTTTACTCCAGGGGGTATCTGGGGAAGGGGGGCCTGGAGTGAACTGGGCTGAAACTCACTTCATTGAGTTTCGAACCCGAGACCTCCCATAAGGGAGAGTGCGTCGGCGATCAGCTGAGCTGGATCGCTTCCTCATTATAATTGAATAATAACCCCTGAGAACCATCATACTTAATACCAAGGTTGCATAAATGGTTAAGAGTCCCTAGACAGCCTAAGTGACAAGTAGGTAATTCCTATTTTTAGGTACTCTTTAGAAAATAATTTCAATTCTAACCCGACTAACCCCCTAGTAAGCCACCCAAGTTATCCTCCTAGGTAGCTAACCACCTAATCACCACCAATTTGTGGAAATCGTCAAGGTCAATTGGTGCCGTGCACTTGGACCACCATATAGACCAATTTTACGACATTGCTTAAACTTAAAAGTACTGCAGACCAATGGTGGACACAGAAATCTTAACTAGGAAGGTCAAAGTCGCACAGTATGGGTGATTAATGTATGCTGTGCACATTCCACTACTCCAAATAGCAGCATATTTCAAACCAGCAATAAATAAATAGTGACTGAGTAGGTGAACAATCTTATAAACTAATCTTTTTCTACATTTAAAATTTTAAAGGTATGTTTTGGAACGTATGAAAAATCTTATGAAACCATCTTACAACACCGCCAGCGCCCACCACTGGAACTTTTTTCTTAAATTATTTGAAAAATTCATCCACAATAAAATTTGTTGCTGATGGTTTCAGTGACATCTTGTATGGCAGCGTTAGTGACACTAGTCACTGCCCACTGGTAATGATATAAAAAATTGGCAGTGACATGCACAGTTTTTTCGATTTATTACCTTTTAAATAAAATTCTTGTTCATATATGAATCGACAACAACATCCAAGCCTTAGTCCCAAAAGAGTTTGGGGTCGGCTAACATTCATATTTCGATTCATGTCAAGTGAATGCAGTCACTTTTTTTGAATTGGGCTTTCAACATTGTAATACTTGCGAAAAACTCCCAACTTTTATTGCTGAACTTGCAAGTACATAGAATAAATGTGGAATGTTAAGAAAGAATTGGTTAAAAGATCAGAACTGCAATTGACCTTTAGCAAATCCAGTCTGAGATTTGGGCCACTTGGAGGGTATTTCCCATGGACATTCCCAATGCACACCGCCAATGCATCTACCGCCGTAGCCTCAATGAAGTTATTAGCCTAAAAAGCAGATGCAGGTAAGATATGAGCAACAGATGCAACTAATCGGTCACTGACTGTAACTTGGTATATCCAGCAACAGATAAGAACCTGATCCACATCAGTTAGCTTAGCTTCATAATCTTGCACCGTCAAGCCATCTTCTGTACCTGACAATCTTCCTAACTCAGCTTCCACCAACAATTTTTTTGAGTGTGCCAACACCGATATGTATTTTGTGTATGAAATGTTCTCTTCAAATGGGAGGTGTGAGCCATCAACCATGACTGAATCAAATCCCTGCAATATTAAGTTAATCAATTAATAAAACTGACTTATCTTGCTAGAAGTCTAGAACATGGAACAATGCAATGAGCAATTTGAAAATCAATTAATAAAACTGACTTATCTGGCTAGAAGTCTAGACTATGGAACAACGCAATGAGCAATTTGAAAAGGCATATGGTTTTGGTAATAAGAAACTTACCATCTCAAGAGCTTCCAACAACTCTTTCTTGGAGCTTCCATGGTCATAGTGAACCGTAATTGGAACCTGTCAATAATGCATGTCTATTATTCTTGCATCTTGCGTAAAGCTGGAAGGAAAAGGACTGGTTAAGGCAAACACGTATAGGCAATGATATGACTTTTTGAAATTTCAACTTGAATATCAATCCTTAAAAAAACAATGAGAGATACTTCATGTTTAAGCCTCTGTCATTTGGAATAATAAAGACTAATTTTATTGATGACTTTTGTACTTACAAAGACACTATCTGGAGACTAATACACTGCTTATGTAAGAAATGGATCTTTAAGGAGTGTTTGTGTTTACTTCTACCTTTTGGGAAGTGCTTTAACTTTAGTGATTCATACGAAAAGTGATTAATAGTAAAAGTTGGTTTTATTTGAAAAGAAAAGTGATTTAAAAACAAAAACAAGTTAAAGTATTTGGTGGGAAAATACTTTTTGCGAAATAGAAAAAGTTAAAAGCAGTTTTAAGCACCCCCCCTACTTATAACTTTTAGCTTTAAATTGATCAAATTTGTAGGAAACACTAATTTTAGCTTTTTTTACAAGCAAAACCCGAAAAGCAGTTTTTAAAGCTGTCGCAAAGACTGCTTTAGAGTAGTGGCCTCGACCCTAGGTTTTCTAATAACACCCACTACCCCCTTAAGTTGAAGCAGGACATCTAAAAGCTTGATACCATAAATTTATAGGGATAAGGAACATCTATATGGTAGAAAACATTTACACCCCTCAACTATATGGTAGAAAACATTTATACCCCTCAACTTTTTTGGAACAACTAAACACAAAAACTGTAAAGCTGAAATATATATACCTTAAACTATATATTAGAGAGCACATATACCCCTCAACTTTTGGACATAAATGGTATATATGTTCCATAGCATATAGTTCAAGAGTTTATTTGTACTAACTTTATAATTTTTGTGTTTACTTGTTCCAAAAAAGTCGAGGGGTATATTATTTTCTGAACTATAGGTGAGGGGCATGAATGTTCCTTCTCCCTACCTTTAAACTAGAAACTTGAACCTATCACTTTATTTCACTTGACAAGGCTTGATTTATGTTGTACTGCAATCTTCGAGGGGTATACATGGTTTGATAGAGATGCAGAGTGACAGTAAGATGGAAGGACGAGTAGTTGCGGTAGCAATGCCACAGTAGGACTTGAGTTTTACCCTTGAGTAGTAGAGACTCTTCATTCTCAGATTTTGAGATGAAATGGGACAGGGGCGTAACCATAGTGGGCTGGGCTGGTACAAAGGTTTCTTTTTTTGGATAAGTTTTAACACTACAATCAAACATTTTTTAAAATTTGGGGTGGGCCGGGGCTTACCATGCCTCCCGCTACCTCTGCTCCTGACATGAGAGCTAGAGTCCTTGCTCTTATTATTGTGATTGGTTTGCCATGCAAATTCCAACCCTGCTTTTGTGCATACCCTAATTTATGACAGAAATCACATCTTACTGTGGTCATTCAAATGCATTTCATGGTCCTAATAGGAAAGATCTGACATTATCTTGTTCCCACATGACTACACGATGACCCTCTTCATATGCTCTCATAAAAGTTTGTTGATTGTTTGGTTAAAATATTATTTTCCTCAGCTGTCAATACTAAAGATCATAAGATGAAGTATACGGAAAAACACGTGTCATCTGCATATCTCAGCGGAAATATGTCAAGGGTAACGGATATTCTAGAAGAACTAGAGAATAGAAATTGTAAACCAGTTCACGACTTTACACCCTTATACATCCTAAGGTTAAGCTTCTTCTACAACTGGAATAAGTGATGTGAGCCAGTTCCTAACATCTCCTTATGAAAACCACTGACATGCAACTATCAGGACTCTAAGATACTCCCTCCGTCCCGAAATAATTGTCTTGTTTTCCTTTTTGGGATGTTCCAAAATAATTGTCTTGTTTCCTCTTTTGACAATAATATGTGGCTCATATCAATTCACCCTTTTCTACTCAAATCTCAACCGCAACTTTTACCTTTTCAACCACTTTCTTAAAACTTGTGCCAAAGCAAACAAGACAATTATTTCGGGACGGAGGGAGTATATCATAAAACCCAAGACATTCATAAGCTAAACACAGACAGTAAAAGTGAAAAAAGTGGTCAAATTCAAGCGTGCAAGTAAGGCTAGATATCCCTGGGAAACGTCAATCAACATCAGGATATCGTGATTTTCTGTGGTGACTGAATCGCGAGAGAGAAAGTAAGAGCTGAGAACTGGTCACACAGTGACACTCAAAACTGTTGAAGGCGAGGAAGAAACATACACAAAATGTTGAGATGATAGGAAGAAACTAACACCAAATAGGCACCACCTTCAGAATGAAACAATTTTTTATATGAAACAAGTCAAACAACAGCATTTCTATCCAGCGAAGTAGGATAGGATTTTTTTGTGTTTGTTGTCTCGGTAGTACACCTATATATAGGCTTCTTTAATCTAAACATCAGGGAATTTACAAGGATAAAAGCTTTCCAAGACAACTTCAACGAGCCTAAGAGCACGCAAACCATTTTTTGCTGCATTCCTTATTTCTTAGTTCTTACATATTCGATATGAAGACATTAAAAAGTACAGCCGCGTACAAAAGTGTCCCCGCTTAGAGAGGGTAAGGTCCCACCACAAGGGAGGCATGTGGGCAAACCTTACCTTGCACTTTTGCAAGAGGCAGCTTCCAGGAATCGAACCTGTGACCTCATAGCCACATGGCAACACCTCACCCGAGGCACAAAGGCTCCCTTTCATTTGATATGAAGTCATTACTAACACAAAATGCATTGCTCAACAATGCAACTTACAGTAGCATGTTGTGCAGCAGCTACACAGCATGCAACCAGTGGAACTCCTCCTTCCTTGAAAGCACTAGGGTGAATCTAGAAAAGAAACACTGGGAGTTAAAATGGATTTCATAAAATAGGTGCAAAGTTTCAATGTTTCAATGTAGAAAAATAAGAATTAACGGTTAAGGGAACTGAGGAATAGGATTCTAATGTCATCTTAATGTAAAGAAATCAGAGGGCATATCTTACATCTACAGAAGGTAAAATGTCAAAAAAAACTGGGATTTATTAGAAGTGAATGAATAGTTCACATACATAGAAAGAAGAGAGATAATAATTCACATATGTAGAAATAAAAGAGGAATCAAAATGCTTCAAATATGTTTAGTCATTAAGCAAGAAATGAAACTTTATGTAATAAATATAAAAATAAAAAGAAATAAGATAATGAAGATAACTTGTTTCTTGTCTACAAAAACAAAAGGTATAGAGACTGCAAAACTGAACAGGCAAAAGAAAAATACATGATACCATGAAAGGTACAAAATGAAATGAATGAAGATGAAACGTTGTCCAGTCTATGTATACAATTGTCATATACCTCTCCTGATTCCACTTAAACTATATCAATTATACAATAGAATCCTGTGCTAATAAAACAAGCCAACAAAAAGTATTTGCAATTCCATTATTTTCTCACAAAAATTAGGTTTAAAATGATTTTTACAGCACTGAGCATAACATCAAACTCATCTGGGAATAAGGCTTGGGGCTTGGATGCTGTTGTTGTTTTGTGCATATCAGCATATGCTCACATGTACAGTAAAGGAGAATAAGTTTTTCAAGCATTAAACATGTCTTTAACTCTCAGGCTTCTACTGGTTACCTTTTATATGCTCTATCTTGACCTTTGATATTCTCTTTCTTTCTTCATATAATTGTTTTACTGATTTATTGAGTATTGAAAGGGACAACATTAAGAATGTACTCTTCATCAGTTTACAGTGTGTGACAAAAAATTGCAAACATTATAGAAACACATTTTAAGAATTTAAAGCAGAAAGTTTAAAATTTATCAGCTTCATTGTGAATGTTAAACATGTAAAATTAGTGGTATAAATTTTGAACTTTTGAAATTAAGAGTGTTAACTAATTTCACACAATCAATTGACACTAAATTTTGCGTCAACAAGTTGACAATCCCAACATTATTGAGGATAAGGTGATGGTGATGATGAAAGTTAATGTTAAACCTGTAAAATAGCAGGACTCCTTTGATCCTCTGCTGCAGCAACAACTGCTTGAATTCCTTCCATGTTGTAGACATTAAAAGCTCCGATAGCATATCCTCCCTTTTGAGCATCCTGCATGCAGTACACATGTTCTAAAAAACTTGGGTAGAAAGAAATTGTAAAAATGTTACGGATGCTTTCTAGGGCCAGCAATATGACAGGACCGAACCTAGGTTATAGGACCAGGCCCGTCAGCAGATAGTGGGCCCAGATCAATTGAAGAGCAAAGTGGCTACAAAAAATAAAAGAGAGACACTTAGTTCTAGTTGATCTGTGAGCCTAAAGTTGCACAGACCAATTAGGACTCTTGTAATTAGGCATTTACACCTAATAGCATTCCTATTGCAATTACTTCATTAATATTCCCAATAGGGTTCCTCTTACAATTAGTCATTATTAATACTCAGTAAAGCACTTTTGGAAGATTCATTTGTGTATTGACTAGGTCAGGCACCGAATTACCCAGCATGAGAATTTATTTTAATCTGTTGTTAAATCATAGATTCCTTCCCAAAGGCATGCTGCCCTTCTCATTCCCAAGATCATTCTCGTCCCTGGAAAAGGTATTTGATGCAAACAATTAACGGAATATCAACGTTTCAGCAATCTTACCACAAGAAGATCTCTAGTTGATGATCTGGACAGTTGAGCCCAACATTTCACTACCTCTGCCAGAGCTTTAGTGTCACCAACATTCCCTGAGGAAGACATCTATAAGTTTAATTGTTTATAACAAAAGGGAGAGTGCAGAGAGAAACAAATGATGACTACTAGAGAGGAGAAAGTACCAGGGAAGACGATATAAGGAACTTTTGGATGTCTGCTTTCAGGACCTAGCTGCCACAAAGGAATACCAGAAAGAGCTTGCCCAACAACTTTGGCACGCTTTGCCTCAAGCGCTTTTGTTGCAATATCTGATGAGGTTATTCCACCCTGAGATAAAATAAGAAAACTCTTGAAGTAATCAATGGATGACAAATCTTGATACTTAATTATAATTTGTACCAAAATAAGAGTAATTGTAGCAGCATGAATAGATCATACTTGGAGTCTCTAAAGCAAAGCAAACAAGCATCCATAAAACAAGAGCACGGAAGCAGATATTAACCTACCTTTGCAATTATATAACGGGGCCTTGTGGTTATCCTCTGAACAATCTGAACTAGTGCAGAACTAACCTTGAAGTTGATCTCCAAACTCTCAGAAGCAGCTGGTATATCATAACGGAATATTAGAAGCAATCTCAAATAAGCATCGTGCAGGCACGGAACTTTTGCAATCAAATATTAGTGTTGAATAGAACTGAATCAAAATGCAACAAATTACTTTTCCCAGTAATAAGCTCTCGGCTGGTCATTATTAGAATGTCTTTACGACTTTTAAGAAATATATCTGCCATTTCAGCTGTTTGATTGATTTCCTCCTCCCTCTCTTCTGATGTCTTCATGGCCACTCTATCAACTGAAACCTATGCACATGTCCAGGCAATTGAGGTTCTACGTAAAACTCGGATATCGAAAAAAGGATAAGACTTTCACCACCTTGGAAAAATATATAAAAGCACACTATAGGCTACCTGCCTACCTCTATTGTCTTCAGCAAATTACCGAATTGCAACTTCAGTTCTTCAACCTTCATAGTGTAAAACAAGCAATGAATTTCAGATGTCATTGGAAATTAAAGCAAAACTAAGAGAAACCACTTTACCTGCTTTGTAGTTTTTGGGACATATGAGCCCACAATTATCAGTCCACCACTCCTTTCCTTGTTTATTCCAACATCGTTAGGTGAAATTGGAGGTATTTGCCTAATTCCTACCCGAGCAGAAACAAAACTAGCCGCAGTTCGGCACAAGAAACGTTTTCCTCTCACTTCTGCCTATAACTCAGGAAAATAGAAACACGGTGTTTATAGTACTCATAAGGATGGTAAAAGAAAAATAATTCAGCCATATAATATACGGAGTATAAGATAACACATAGGGAACCTGAAGCATCCCAGCTGCAAATACCGCCATATCTCTCTCACTAGCTGCATTGACTACACATGTTGTGCCCTTTTCAATAAACACTTTTAAACTTCAGTATGAGGGAAGTGCAAAAAAGGACATTAGTATCACTAAATTCAAATGATAATTTTTAAACACATACTGCTTTAATGTATCAGGTTTTTAATTTTTAAAAGAGCTAAGTAGAAGTACGAACCCACTTACAAAAAGTGTTACAAAAGAGACACATAGCAGCATCGTATTCTATAACACACCATATCACCTTTACATCAATGGTGATTACATGATCCACATCATTTGATTGTAAATTTGTACTTTTAGCACTTTCCTTTTTACAAATGCTAGAACAGTTGCATTCTAAGAGAGCCAATTGGAATGGCATCAACTAAATGATTCTATGTTAATCATGTACAGTAAGAGATAAAAAAAGATGGCAAATGAGACCGACCATTGATCCAAAATGATCACTTTTGCTTTTATGTTAGGAACTGCTTGAAAGACATCAATTTCACTTTGAATAAAAATCTTGATTTTTCCCTATCACGTTTTTTGCATCAGATAAGTGAAAACAGAGAAGAACTGATTTCCAACATGGAAAGTGGCAGACTGGAAGCGCGTGATCCTGAGGCTCAAGACGACTTATGCATTAAGTCGCTACAAGGACCTAAGCAAGGAACTTGTCTAAATAGAATAAAAAGAGCACAGGAAAGACTTGCCGAGTCTCAGGGGTGTGTGACAGCGGGGTTTCACTGGAAAAACAAGGGTTTGCTGGAGAAATAAAGGAAGCTTTCAAGATAGTCCCGAAGCTCTGGTACCGTGTTAAGGATATGAGATTATTTGATACATTTCATAGGAAACATGTAGAGAGGTCTCCAATTTATAGATACACAAAATACAAGACGAGCCAAGCCTGTTCAAATGAAGGTTAGTCATATTCAACATAAGTAAAGCATAGCTCACGCATGAAGTACGAAATTGTCAATCATATTGATCCAAACCTTACAATTTTAACATCGAAACACAAATCAATAGAGCAACTAGACTTGAGACCTAGACTTGAGAGGTTTGTTGTTTATACCTTCTTCAAACTGCAGAGATGTTCACAAACGGCATTTGGCCCCCCTTTTCTCAAAAGGTGGATAGTAATAGATGAAACAGCTCCAGCTTGTATGCGCCCTCTAGTTTTTTCCTCCACCCACTGTGATATCAAATAAACATCAATGACTACGTTTCCAATCAAATATACGGAATAATACTTGATGCTAAATTGTTTGACCTAGATTAAAAAATATACCGACCTCACGAAGGTTGGAAGATTTATAGCCAAAAGCAGCATCTTTTGCAAATTCTGTCGCACCTGCAGGAACAAGTCTATAGACAACATGCTCATGAGATGGCGTATCAGATAAAGAAACTATAACGGTCTCTGTAAAGACAATAAAAAAGACATACCTATCGGAATCTGCAACATAATGTATATCCTCTATAGTGTAACGACCTCCTTGCAGGAAAAATGGGCATAATATCCATGCATCCATCTCCCCTAGTACAGACACAGCAGCATCTGGTTCCTAGTCATCATAAAGTTGGTCCATTTTTTTGTCAAATGAATTGAGAAACAAAAGCATAAACTTGACCTCATACAATATGCCTAGAACTTGCCTCGGGAAAATGACCACGTAAAGTAGAATCCCCCCTTAGCACTACTGTGAAGTCAGCATTCTCAACAGACTTAGCTGCAGTCTGTAAGTTTCTGCAGATATCTATTATAAGTGCACTCGCCTGTCAACAGTGCCACAGCAGACAAACGGGTATACTTTATTTAGTGAATTTTATACAGCTCTTCGTGGGAAATTTCATCATGGAACAATAATATATTTCTCAAATTGTATCTTGGGTGTAGTTTTTTAACCTTCTCTGAACCTAGTGCCCTGGAGTTGGTCAAAATGAAGAAGCACTTAGGCCCTTTTCTGAACTCCAAAACAAGTGATTCAACACTCCTGAAATTAATTGTGATAAAAATTCAAATTAAAGAAGATAACGCAACCACATGCCTCGTGCTCATAGAAGGGTATTACGCAAAACTAGCAAAATATGCTTTCATATGTTTCATTAGTAGTTAGTAGTTATTGCTGCTAAAAAGTAGAGGAAAGTTGTTTTGACTATTGTAGTGTTCTAAAAGTAAGTCTGGACTTCAAAACTACCCAAATGCTAGCGATTAATTTGTGTTACAAAATTAGCCTTGGTTGTAAGCTTTAGGTTAAAACTGACACAAGTAAGCAGTTGTAAGATAAATACTCTACCTATGTAACCTTTCATTAACCCTTATTTTTATCCCTGTATATATCTACAATCTTCCTCATTGGATATAAAGAGAAAAAATTAAACTTCATTCGGATGGCCGCAACTGTAACACAGCATAATATGTATTAGGAAGACAATGGAATTCTTTAGCAAGTTGTTTTCAAATGCAGCCTAATCACTAACATTAAATGAACTACCTGACTTGTGAAAAAGTTATTATATGAGATTTATATTGAAACTCCTTATGGTGTTAAGCTGATATTTTGAATTGAGTAAATATGAAGTACCCACCCCTGGGTTAATATCCATGCACGTTTTATCTGGGAATTACAGATTCTGGTTTTTCACTGTCCTAGCTGAGGTATTGAGTACCTGCTGTTTCTGTTATTATTTTAACATCCACACTTTCTAACTGAACAGAGTTGAGACTTTTGCAGATTAAGTCCATATTTCAAATGTTAATCAAAAGACATGATATGCTATTTGCCTATCTGGTCATGTACAGATTTACTTCAAACTGTCAATGGAATTTGGAAATGAGCGGAAAAATAAGTACATGTTATGACTTATGACTACTGTACAAGATAAGAAAAATATCAAAAGCATGCTCAAACTGATCATATATGCCACTATGCAATCATACCAATAGGAGACCAACATTGGTATATCACAAACCCTTGAAGTGTACTGGGCATAGTGTGGAGCACAAGAAAAAGCATCTTCATTTCGATAGATCATGAACTGTGCTTGTTTTCCGTTTTTAATTTATACTACCTCCGTTCTTAAATAAATGCAACATGTTGAATTTCAAACTATTCACATGTTCTACTTTGACTACAATTTATTTATTAATGTATTGATAAATTGTTTTAAAGAAAATTATTGTTAAATTTGTTTCATCGAAAATTTTCAGAATGTGAATTTTTTAAATTTTTTTACTAATAGAAGATTAAATATACTAATGGTCAAAGTTGTGCATCGGCAAACGTGAAAAGTGGACTGTTGCATTTATTTAAGAACTGAGGTAGTTTATATTATCTTATTAACAGGACAGTTAACTACGTAGGTACAAGCATTACCCAAATCAGCAGCCCCGTTTAGAAAGACTATACATAATACGGAGTATAATTTTTCATCCTATTTTTGTCCACAATTCTAGAGCTGACCAATGGCAAGTTGTCGACAATCTTATTCAAGCGCTTTTTAATCTCTGACAATCTTGAAATATACTCTTATCCCTGTACTTCTTAAAAAACACTTACCATTCTGTCAAGACCTCAATACCATGGACAGTTTGAGTCCCAGTTGGATCATCATCGAGAACAACCAAAGTTTTTGAGCTGTTTTCAATAAGTTTGCATATATCATTGATGGGATCCTCGGGCCACTCAGATGGAAGGGATTTTAAGACAGATTCTTTGCTGAGATCTGGACGTTTCCCCTGAACAGCTACTCCAGTCAGTGTCTCATACACCTGTATGATTACATGGAAATGAGTAAAATACTAGAACCATTCAGCTTGGCCACCTTGAAGTGTGAAATTCATGTCATCATAGAAGTATAGAACAACAAATAGAAATGGTTAAACTTATGTCTGAGAAATACATTATTAAGTACTACCTCCGTCTCATAATGGTTGTCCACTTTCAATTTGGCACGATTACTAATAAAGTGGTTGAAAAGTAAAAGTTGTGGTTGAGATTTGAGTAGAATAAAGTGAATTGATAAGAACCACATATTTCATGCCAAAAAAGGAAACAAGACATTCATTTTGGGACAACCCAAAAAGGAAAGTAGGACAACCAAAATGGGACGGAGGGAGTAGTAAAATAGCAAACTCAACACACTTTGGTTTGCAAAGTCTACTTTTCTTGGTCAACACACTTTGGTTTTATTTACTTATTTAGGATATCAATTTTTATTATATTTTAATTTGGATTTTTCAACTTTGTAGGGTTCTCAATTTAGTTTCTAAATATGTAAATTTTAATTAGTAAAACTGATTTAACTATCTGCAAGGAAGATTTAACTTTCTATTCAGTCAACCTTAAATACCGCAAATTGCAAATCAATTTTGGGACGAAAGAAGTATTAAATATTTTAGAATCCTTTTTCTCACACAGACACTTGCGCTAAGCATACCTTAACAACGGCAGCATCATCCAATCTACCCCATCCAGCCGCAGAACCTAACATGGAACATTTATTATTTCTCAGTTGAATGAATTTGATTATTAACGACATATCAGACTGTTCTATATCAGCTTTGGAGTCTTATACAAGCCAAAAAGATCATCTATTAATCTATTTTATGAGTACAACATAAAAAAATTGTGTGAAAATCTGCATGCTGGTTGGAATTACACAAATCTAAAAGGCCCAGAAATTTTTTAAATCATGAAGACCAACAATGGGAAGTGGACTTGACCCTCTCAGTTGAGCACTCAGTTTGAGAAACCCTCAAGACCGGAATCACAATAACTTCGAAGTATAACATACTCCCTCCGTCCCAATTTGTTTTGCAAAGTCAACATTTTTTGGTCAACCAATAATAAAAGTCAACCCTCCTTATGGATAATTAATTCAATTTTTAATAATTAAAATTTATATATTCAAAAACTACATTAAAATTTCTTCAAAGTTGTAAACTCCAAATTAGAAAATAAATCAAAATTGACATCCTAATTAAGTGAACAAAACGAGACTGTTTGACTAAAAAAAGTCAAATTTGCAACTCTTTTTGGGACGGAGGTAGTATTAACATGCAAAAACTATTCAACTTACCTGCCAAGAATATTTGGTGTGCTAGATTGGAAAGATGAAGTGGGACTCTACGTAATGAGCATTCGCGAGAAACAATGCCCTACAAAAAAAGATTTTAATTTATTTGAAGCATTGAAAGGACTCCCCAAAATGAAGAAACCAAAAACAACTATTTAGCATGCCACAAAATATGCTCTAATTAAGCTAACAACTTCATGCCTAAGCATAACCCTCACCAGATCTTTTACAAAGATATTGAGTGCAGACAATGGTGTATAATCATTCACTACCATATGTGGAGTGCGGTTCTCAAACATCCTGCAGAAGATCCAAGGTCTACACAGTCAAAGTATACCAAAACCTTTGACAGCAATACAGACTGTAATAAATTATTATATTCAGGAAGTATATTTTAAAAAGGTAAGGGTTGGATCTTAGTCTCTGAAGCACCCAAAAGGTGACCTTATAGTTCATATCAGGAAGATGAGGGTGGGGCAATGTTGGTGATTAGTCTATGAAGCACCCAAAAGGTGACCTTTATAGTTCATATACGTACAAACAATTAACATTAGTCATGAAGAAGTGTACTAAGACAGTTTGTTGTGATCTTACGCTGCATAAAAGAAGACATTTCTTCTTTAAAGTAGTCAGTGGTTAGAGTTCCATGTCAAAGTTAGTAAGGATGTTTTCCTAACTAGGAACTGTGTTAGGAAACCCAAAGGAAGACATTTCTTCTGCTTATAAACATAAGAATATAGGATGTGAATGCAATGCATTGACAGCATTCTCGTTTGCAACAATCCAAACACATTTTACAATTTATAGACAAAACACCTACCAAGATGTTCCTTCACTATTTTTTATAACATCAAACAACAATCTTGTATCAAGTCCCAACCGTGCACCAAATGCCATTGCCTCAGCTGCCGATGCAATATGAACTCCAGCAAGCAGTTGATTTACCATTTTCACAGAACTAGAATGCATTTAGAAGGTTGTTATCATATATTCATATATCACTAAAATAGTTGCACAGATGTACCCACCCAAATTAATCCACATGATAAAGTTAAAAAAGATTAAGGATTTGTCGTGTGACTGAGAGGTCACGGGTTCAAGTCTTGGGAGCGGCTTCTCATCATAATTGACAAGGGAAGGATTAGGGTTCAATCGTAAAAGGCAGCGCAAGATGGTGGCTCATTGGAGCAGACCAATCTTGTAGTCCATGTGCTCGTTGAGGGCCGACTTACAAACCATCTTGACTTAGCATGATCTAATTGCTAGTCGGAGCTTCATTGACTCTCATAGCAAATTAAGTTTTGAGGTTTCATCCGAAAACGTCACCTGATAGGAGCGGCCTTTTGTCAAAATTGACAAGGGAAAGATTAGGGTTCTATCCTAAAAGGTGGCGCAAGATGGTGTCTCGTTGGAGAAGATCAATTTTGTAGTCCATGTGCTCATTGTTGAGGCTTACCATGATCTAATTGCTCGTTGGGGCTTCATTGTATGTAATAGCAGGTTATGTTTTGGAATTCCATCCTAAAAGGTCAACCTTAGGAGTAGCCCAAGGCTTTATATCTTAGTTTGTATTTCTATGTGCAACCGGTGTGTGATAGCTTAATAGTAGGCCTTGTCCCTAGACCCTCGCCTAGTGGGGATGCCAATGTGAACCGGCCTGCCCTTTAATAAAGTTAAAAAAATCATGCATCAAAATTTAAGTAATAATAAAAATACCTTCCAGCCCCACAGCCTCCATTTATAATATAAAGCTTTTCACTTAATGCTGCTCAAATAGGACGTAAAAGTCAGTACACGCCAATGACGCCATCAAGCCTTTTGCAAAAACAAGTTCTTCACTATATTATCATCATTTTTGGGAGGGAGAGAACGAATCGTTGTTACCAGAAAGAACGCTACCACAATGCTTGAGGGCTTCTTCAGTACCTGATGCCATTATCTAATATAACCAATATTAAAATTGCCATTATCTAATATAACCAATATTATTAATATTTTATGTAAGCAGATCACTTACCATATGTCATTGTTTCTACAAAATGTTTCATTTGGGTCTAACTCACCCCACAAGGATCCTCAATGTGTGGGGTTAATGATATCATAATAAGTTGGATCTAACTCACCCCAAAAGGATCCTCAAGAGGTAAGGTTTACCTCATACTTGTATATAGTCACAAATCTGGTAAGCATCCAATATGGGGTACTTAACGGAAAAGTACTATCTTTAAAAACTAAAATTGCATCCTCATACAATCGTACCGTAAGTGTTCCATTAGACGCCTTCTTTACACCACCAGAAACAGGAGCATCTACTAATTTCAAACTCTTCTGTTCATCTAGGAAAATTTCAAATGCATTATGTGACAGTGGAAATAAAAGTGAAAACAAATTAACCGGATATAACAAATTTAAGGAAATGACAAACGAGGAGGATAGCTTAAGTGTATAAAATGGATAATCATGTAATCCCTCCGTCCCATAAAATTCTTCTCACTTACCATTTTGGGATGTCCCAAAAAATTGTACCCGCTTCCCTCTTTGGAAAATTTTGTGTGACTAACATTCATTGACCTTTTTCTTACTCAACCACAACCATACATTTCCACTTTATTCTAACTCTCTTAAACTCCAATCCAAGTCAAACCGGGAAGAATTTAATGGGACGGAGGGAGTATAAGAAAAAAAAAAGTAAATGTGTTGGCAAAGATTGGCAGGGTTCGGAAGTTTCACATAAAAGCAAGTAAAAGTGTCACTAGAAATAAATTTCAGGAAAGAAAATGAAAAATGAGTAGCCGAGTAGGATAGCGTAACTACAAAAAAATAGATAATCAAGTATAAATAACAAGAAATAAAGTAAATTTGTAGGTAAAGATTGGCAGGGTTTTGGAAGTTTCACATAAAGCAAGTAACAGTCGTTAGAAATTGATTGCAAACTTCTACTTGCATCAAATGTAGATATGATATGCAAGAACATACTTTGTAAACGCCTCTCCAGTTGGCTGACGAATGCAGGAGAAACCGTGGAACAGAGGATGATAGATGCTCCGGATGGAAGTGCTTTTAACACCAGCCGATATAGTTAGTTCACCTTGCAAAAAAATAAATATAGAAACAAATTGTACCATATAAATACAGAAGTGAAAGATACCTGGCACGGCACCACTGTTTCCATAAAGAACGCTTTCAGCTTGAGTTTCATTGGTGACCATTACAACAAGTACATCAACATCTAAAAGAATAAAAATAATAGAAGTCAATAATTTTAAAAGTTTAAGATAGTGTCATATTCCTTATAAATTATAACTTGTAAGCACAAGAAAATGTGTTTAAGTTGCAGTTGCCAATGCCTTGGATAAACTTATACAATTACCTCGTGCTACTTCTGCAGGGGAGCCACTAGTCAAGCCACCTTCACTTGCAAATCGAGATAGTGCAGGTTTATATACCTAACAGCAAAGAAAAGTGGTCCACTATTACTACATTCAAAAATCATAGCTATGAGTTTCAGATACATTTTGTATCTGAAAAAGTGCAGAAGTTTTAAATGCCAATAAACATGTAGATCTTATGCAAAACCGAAAAGCTTGTGTATCATGTCTGTACAATTGTACATGCACTTGTTATATGTGTAAATGGAGAACAGACAAGGATGTAGTCTAGCACCAGATAAAAAACAGTTTAGCAGATTTACATCAAACCCATTGACAGAGAAATCTGATTTCAATAGATGAGTTGCCATGCCAATTCCCATTGCTCCAAGACCTACAAACCCAATTTTTTTCACAGTATCGGAATTGGCAATACATTGACCAGCCAGTTCCTCAGGGTTGTAACTTTCAGCACCGACTGCTTCACTGATATTTACCCCTAGCAATAGCTCCCAAACCTGTCATACGGTTAACTTAGATGCACAAAATGCTGGCAGAAAAGAAAAACTCATATTACAAAATCATCTATAATTGCCTAAGAATATTGCCTTGAGTAATGAAGAATCGTCTTCTTTCCCTTGTGAGAATCCTGCAAAAACAAAACACCATAATGGATAGAAGTAAACCAGACAGCAGTGTTAAGCTTAAGACAGAGGAGAAGAAAATAACCTGCTACAAGTTGTTGATGAGAAACTGTCAAAAGAGGAAGCGGGAATATCATTGACTTTGCCATGTCTAAAACAGTACCCTAAAATTCACAAAAAGCAGCCACTATATAAAAAATATAGAGCTTGAAAGAAATTACTCTGTGAAAATATCAAATTGATAGTCATTTTGGAATACATTATATCACACACGCACACATTATGTAGACTACAAGTTTGCAAATTATAACATGTAGAGAAATGAATACTTGTAAAGTAAGTACTTTGGAAAACTTTCAGGGAAAGATATACTCCGTATTATTTTAGAGCTAAAAAATAAAAACAGTCTTACAATTTTCTGAATAAGAACATGAAGGAAATGCTGTTTTGCTAGTCTTCCCTTTAACATATGGGGAACATAGTTCTTGAAAACCCTGCAATGATTTTGGATAAGAATAAAACATCATTAGCAACTACTGACTGCAGGAGCTGACAGCCAGACAGGCATCTCAAACTTATCAACCTACCATGAGTTTCCAGCAGCATTACTTATAATATCATAAATTATCCATGGATGAATCCCAGCTTGAGTGCCAAGAGAAATTGCCTCCACAGAAGCAACAAAATGAATCCCCTCAAGAAGCTCAATCACCATTTTACTTTTGCTGCAAGGGATAAATAAGGCATACATTCACCCATGGGTAAGGTAATATTACTTCGTTAGCACGAAAGCCTAAACTGTCAAATCATAATTGCCTCTGTTCCCATTTTTCTTAGCTTGGTATGCCTCCTAATTTTGGGGCATGTAATTTTATAGCACATAATGAATCTACTCATTTCCATGTACAGGAGTTTTTAACAATTACCTTCCAGCACCAAGTTCACCCTCAAAGATGTATAGTTTTCCACACATTGCTGTCAAATAAAAAATGAGTGTCATCCAGGTATAAAATTAAAACTAAAATTTTACAACTTAAGTCACGCAAATGTTCATTTCAGATAACAAACTATTGCACCCGAAAGAATAGCTTGTGCTCTATAAATGGATTCCAGCACTCCAGAAGAAATAATCTGAACATCAAAGAGATTAAAAGAAAAGAAACGTCAAAATAAGCAATCAAGAGTGGGTGGGGGCAATTTGTACTCCTTACCATTAATTCCCCGTTCAAATTTTCTGAAACTGCCTTTGTGACATACATATCAACAACAAAATTCATCTCATATTTTTCTGCAGGAGATAAGTGAAAGATAAATACTTCAAAAATCTTTTTAATAATGCAATAATCGTTTATCCTAATCAATAATGGATAAGATTCATTGTATGTAATAAGCCATTTGTTGAATTTTAATGAATATTTTATTTTATCTATTATTATTGTACATGTGTGTGTGTGTGTTTTATGCCTCAAGCTTACGCCTCATTGCATAATGAGCTGTATGTAAAATGGAATCTGAAAGAATTGTCTAATCTAAACAATACACAATTTTGAACCCTGATAAGAGTGCATTGGAAAATTTACAACAACAAAACAGAATCTTTCAAAGGTATACTAAATCTTTTTTCTTGAAATAAAATTGATATCCCAGCTAGATTTAAAAATAACATACAAAGAGTAGCTCAATCAATGAAGTTACCTTTTAGACTTCCATGTAGCTTCTGGATGTCTGAATGTGATATAGTTGAATGGAGAATAATTACTGCATCTTTGCTCAACCCTTTTACAAAAAACATGAAAATATTGCACCTTAACAAAGTTCATAACATCGCAACCAGCATTCTATTTATTTGTTGAGAACATCAAGACATACCATTTAAAACACCTCCATGACCAAAAATTACATCATTGACTTGATCGTTATGAGATACCAATATGACCAAAGCAGCTACTCCTACATTCAGATTAATAGCAAAATAGTTGAAGATAATTAGTTGTAGCCTCTTCTTTTTAGAGTCATAAATGAACATAACAGCCAATAATTTCGATTATTTTTAGTTATCGTAAAAAGTAGGATTGATAACTAAGGTTCAGAAAGCGGCTAACATGTGCCTTCCTTATGATTCAGTTACCATTACTTCCTTATGATATGTTACACCTGCAATATCATTTTCAGTCTCCCTCAACTTTATATTAAAATGTAGGTGCTTTGAAACTCCAATTGCCATATCGGGTCACCCATCTCTTCACAGCAAATATCCGATAGGCATTGCTTACACCTTGTACTTATCACTTCATTGAGAACTTCAATGCTTCTAATATCGTTACACATTCATCTTATCATGTGTATCTTTGTTACCAAAGTCTTTTTCATTTGATCATTTCTTACAACCCACCATCCTGATCAAACTAAGAAGGCCAGTCGGGTGGCAAATTGATAGAATTTTTACTTTTGTCATGGAGGCACATTACAATGAGGCAATACTACAATACTCGTCTCGTTTCTCTCCAATTTAATCGACATGCATTTGATCATGTTGTGACGTCTTGATCAATTTATCTATTCTTCTGCCTCCTATTCACTTTTTCATTCACGCAAATTGAAAAATTAAGTGGTAGGGTGGTGGACAGTGCAGAAAGAGTTAAGTAGACAAGTAAAGATGAAAAAGTAGAAAGTGTACGAAAAGATGCCAAAATAAAAAAATGAAACAAGTGAAATTTCCATAAAAGGAAAGTGAAAGTGAACCTGATGGGGTATAATTGATCTCAAATTCTCTACGACACACCAGTAACTCTATCTAATTTCAAGTGTGTTCGTTCTTATCTTCAATGGTGCTAAATTTGCACTCCAAATACTACTCCGTATATTTTACTTAGAGTAACACATATAAAGGTACAAGACAAGAATTTAAGGCCGGTAAAAATTATCACTAGTGTTCTACTTAAGTGCATCTCTTGAGCCACATGGTCAAAAGAAAATTTTCATTTTCATTTACCCCAGTGCCGCAAACCTACGGTGGGGTAAGGGGGGGTCGGATGTACGCAGTCTTACCTCTGTACTGAAGCACAGAGAGACTGTTTCCGGATGACCCATAGTGAAAATCGCGTCCAAAATTGCATGGGCTGACTGCTACTTCATAGCAAAGAAGCGCAGACAGTTTAGTGAGCCATTTTGCTTTATTCCATCATATTCTTAAGCCAAAAAATAATGAATCTTTGGCTCCATTGCAAATGATGGAATTGGTCAACAGAAAAATTGTGTCAAAAAAATCAAAAAACTTATACTAGAGTTTACAAGAATTGATAATGAAAAGATAATTGGCATAAACAAAAAATTATAAGTACGTCATAAAAAATGATAGCGGTGTGCACTCCTTATTGAAGGAAAACACCATGGACATATTATAATTTGTTGTTTATTAGTTGCATTAAATTACTAAAAATAAAGAAAAAAAGCATTAATGAACTACATAAATAAAAACATGGCATCTCACCTTCCCCTGCCTCAGTTATGGTGTCACATACTTTACCGCCCATTTTTGAAAACTTGTTGATCGAAGGACTGGATGCCTGACATAAAACCATGTTCAGAACAAATATTGATGATATGTTCACATCATTGTTCTCTGGAGACATAACAGAAAATTATTGTACATGGATTGACCATTATTCTATAGATATTTGAAAGGACTATAAAATGTAGGAACTTCATCCCGTAAGAAGGTGAGGACATAGCATGGCAAAGAAATCCGGATTTTATCAGGCTAGACCATTGAAGACTAGAAGTGTTTAATGGGTTTCTATATGCTGGCGCATGCACAAAGCAAAAGGCTACTTAGCATTTTCTGATTGTACATATGCAGGGATTGAATAACAACATGACTTCAAGTCCTAGAAACAATTGCTATACCAGCATCAAGAAATTGAGAAATAGAAATAAATCCAGAATTCAGCCTATTCTCCTTTTGGGAGCTTCAGATGTGAGCTTGATCACAGAAAACAGTCAATTTTGACGCAATTCATTCACAAAAGTTTTGTCAGTGAAACACTTCCCAAACTCAATCCCTCTGGACTGACAAAATTATCCGTCAAACTCAATCTTGGTTAAAAACGAGTAGGTACAATCTTAGTTGTTTAGTCAATGAGTGAACTATGTTCATATATACTATGCTTACATTTCCTCACTGTTTTAAAAATCGCTCTAGGCGCTAGGCGGTGGTCGGGCGCCCCGATTTTAGTCTGGGCGCTCCGACTAATCAATTTGGCGCTTAGGTGAATTAGTCGACCGTCTAGGCGTCTAGTTGCCCGCCCAGAGCGCTTAATCGGCCGCCTAGGGGTCTAGATTCGTCGGATTTTTTCTTTTCTTTTTTATTTTAGTATCCTAAGATATATATATATAGGAAATCTTTCCGGTAAGGTATACCTTACCGGAGCCACCGTGCGGCCTCCACAGTCCACGTTTTGAGGGCCTTCCCGGTGGAATTTTTCGATGAAATTTTTTGAGCATGTTCTTCATCAAGTCTAGTACATCCATACCAAATTTCAGCAAAAAATTCAATCGGGAAGGCAGCCAAATGATTTTTGGAAGATAACTGTGTTTTATATGTATATAAAGGGTGCAGTTATCTTCCAAAAATCATTTGAGTGCCTTCCCGATTGAATTTTTTCCTGAAATTTGGTATGGATGTACTAGACTTGACGAAGAACATGCTCAAAAAATTTCATCGAAAAATTCCACCGGGAAAGCCCTCAAAACATGGAGGCCTCACGGAGGCTCCGGTAAGGTATACCTTACCGGAAGAGTTCCCTATATATATATATAGAGAGAGAGCTATTCCTGTCCGGAATTTCCGGACAGGAGCCCCGTCCGGCCTCCTCCATTTGGGGGCCTTCCCGGTGGTATTTTTTGCTCAAATTTTTTGTGTATGTTCCTCATCAAGTCTAGTTCATGCATACCAAATTTCAGCAAAAAATTCAATCGGGAAGGTCGTCAAATGATTTTTGCAAGTTAACTGGTCCGAAATATGTGTATTCCGGACCAGTTAACTTGCAAAAATCATTTGACGACCTTCCCGATTAAATTTTTTGCTGAAATTTGGTATGGATGAACTCTTGATGAGGAACATACACAAAAAAATTTGAGCAAGAAATACCACCGAGAAGGCCCCCAAATGGAGGAGGCCGGACGGGGCTCCGGTCAGGAAATTCCTGACCGGAATATTTGTGCGTGTGTGTGTATATATATACACCTTAAACTTTAACAACACATATGAAGAAAGCTACCGATGAGTAAGTGGGTAGGTATAATATATTATTAAATGTGACAATTTTATCATTTATACATGTAAATGTGTATGAGTGTGTATAGATTTTTTATACACCCACAAACACAACATTACTAATCATATTTATGCACAAAAATTGATAAAACTACAATTTATCTGTCTCCGACTAGTCGCATAGGCACCCGACTTGCCCCTTTTAGAACATTGCATTTCCTTATATAAAACCCCACAACCGAAACCAGATAAAATCACAAACTGCAATTAAGAGAAAAAGAGAAAAACTTGAAGAAGAAAAACGCAGACCTCATATGCTTGGATGGAATAGCCGGAACTGAGAAGAGAATAAGCCAATTCCAAGCTGATATCATCCAAGCCAGCAAACCCAACCACTTTTGCAGAAGCCATCGTTTCCAAATACACAGCCTTCTCTGAGGTTTTTACAGAGACGTGCCAAAAAGGATGAGTTCACAGTCACACTGATTGATGAAGGTAGCAAATTGAAATGAAAATCTTACTATGAAATGAAATGTGGAGGAAACAAAATAGAGTACGGAATATGTAAAGGATACACGTGGGCAGCAGTCGGAGTGTCAGGTGTTTTTTTGTGATTATTGATTGCTTCTACTTTAAAAATATGATTTTTTTAAGTGATTTTGGAGAAAGTACTTAATAGTAAAAGTTTATAGTGTTTGAGAAAAAGTGATTCTGAAAAGGTGAAAGTCGGTAGTGTTTGTAAAATAAGTGTTTTTTGTGTAATAGAAAAAGTGAAAAACAGTTTAAAGCATCATTCCACCTACTTCCAGCTTTTAGCTTTTTAGTGATTAATTTAAGCAGATTTTGTCATTTGAAAACACCCTTTTCAACTTTTTTAAGCCAAAAAACTAAAAAGTGCTTTTTAAGCAACTGCAAACACTCCTTTAACTTTTGATATCATATTTTCGGGTAATAATAAGAAAAAATAAGATTGTACTATTTTTCTGAATGTATTGACTGAAATCAGTGAATATTATCATTTTGGCTATTTTTTCACATACTTTGTCAAACACGCCGAATCACATTTACATTTTCTATACTTTTTCCTAATAAATACTTCATTCGTCCTCAAAACAACTTCTCACTTTGACTTGCAAACATTTTAAGTAAATTGAAATGGAAAGTTACTTTCTCAAACACCTCTACTTTATACTCCCTTTGTCCTTTGGATCTTGACAATGTTTGACAGACGAGCAGATTAATAAAGTAAAAACTGTATGATTGAGATTTGTGTAGAGGAAAAAGAATTAACTAGCATAAATTTTTTACTAAAGGGGAAAATGGCAAAGTTGAGACAATAAAAAAAGAAAAATTGACAAAATTTTAAGGGGCAGAAAGAGTATCAACTCATTTATAATGTAACTAAGTGTAGAGGCGATTTTGATATTTGATATTGAAAAGTTGTTTTATGGAAATGAAAATATTATTTTGCAATACCTAAAGTTATTTTCTCCTTGAACAAATCTCATCACAAAGTATTTTATGGGGCAGATAAGTGATGATTTGATTTGATGACACTATTTTACTCGTTTTGAAAAAAAAATTATACTCCAAATTACAAAAAATACATGGTTTTTGTTCCAAATTTGAGTAAATTTCTTTATCATTTACTCCCCAAAAAGAGCAACGTGAATCACTAGCCACGTATCGGGCTTCACAATTGACACAACTATCAGTAGTCTTATAGATCCGTATACTTCTAACGACATAAAAAATAAGCTAAATTTTCAATCATTCCAATAAACCAGCAATAAAGACTTGAACAAGAAACCGAACAACAAAATAACAATAACTAGAGGCCGTTTTGGCAACACTGATTTTCGTCTTATCAAGCCTATCAGCCAGCTTTTTCACCAAACACGTAATTTTTGCTTTCGCGCGCTGAATTGTGTAATAAGCAGAAAAAGTAAGGTTGGAGTTACTTTTCTGGCTGTATTGGCTGAAGTTACTGTTGATGACAATTTTAGCTATTTTTACATATAACTTTTTCTTATTTTTATTAATAAAATATTTTTTAAAGATAATTTTTTCTTAAATCAGTAGAATCAGCCAATGCAGCCACTTCAACCAGAACTTCATAAATTTCAGCAGAATCAGCCAAAACAGCCGATTTTCGTGCTACGAAACGGACTCCTAATATGATAAATTTCTCGAACCCTAGCACCTTGATCAACCCATGGCAGTGATCAGGAGAAGGTTAAATCATCAATACCGTTGTGATTGATCTTTCATCGTCAGTCGATTTCTGGTCCACCATTGTCACCTTCTTGTGCTTTCCCACATCTACATACCCACCCAAGTATGTGGAAACATTCGTGCTCTCTCCCCACGCATCGTTGCAACACCACGACCGCATTGACACCCCCTCCACCCCAGGCCACTTTGAGCCTCGCCGAGAGCGCCTTGCAGACCCCCCCGGAGATCTTCGAACACTGACAGTTATGGACAGCCCAAATCAAATCCCCATCGCCGTTGTCGGCCTCTCAACATCCAAAAGAAAAGAAACTGATCCACTCTGGCGTTGTCGACATCGAAACAAGCGGCAAAACACTGGCGAAAGAAACTCGCATAACAATTAGTCAACACCAAACTTCAAACCCTAATGAGGGTCACCAGACCGCAGCGTAAAGAACAATCGATGATAGTTAGAAACAACATAAATTAGTTATAATTACATATTTTGTTCATCTCATATATTTATTTATTTTTTATTTATAATAAATTATAAATTGTCTAATTAATTATTATTTTTGGGGGAAATAGCAGTACTGTTATCATGTGAATTCGCCATCTCGACCAAATTTTCCGAATATTCCACTTGTTGTATAGAACGGTGTTTATCCAAATGGGTTATGGAACATATAATGTGTGCACTCGAATTTGAATGCAAATGAGTGCATAGAGTGCATTTTGAAAAACTCATTTTTGTTCGATGGCATTATTGTGAGTCTGTGACACTCAAGAAGGTTATCACAAGTTCAAAACTCCTCCCAATTATGGATTTCGATATTTAACATTAAATAAACACTACATAACTTAGAAAACACAATAAAAACAACTTAATTGGTACACGTGTGCAATAAGGTACTTGATACTTCCTCATAGGAACATTATTCTAATTTAAAAAATACTCCTTTCATTCCGTATAGCTTTTTCATCTTTCATTTTTTGGTTGTACCAAAAACTTAGGTCGAAAATAAGTTTATGATCCAATTTTTTTATCCATTAGTATCAACTATTAGTTCTATTTGCTAGATTATAAAAAAATTAAAATATATTCTATCAATAATGTAAATAAAAAGTCATGCCCCCTTCATCCCAAAAAGGTTCGCTGAGTTGGCTTTTCTTGGTCAATGACAGTAAACTTTGACCAATTGATATTTTTTTAATACTATACGAAATTATTTTGAATATGAAAATTATACCAAAATGTTCCTTAAATATAATTATTAAAATTATATCAACTTCAATATTTTCGTAAAAGTATAAAATTTATAAATTATATAAATATAATCATTAAAATTATTGTCCAAAGTTTACTATCATTGACCAAGAAAAGTACATCTTTTTGGGAACAAGTTATTATGAAAATAGCTAAAATGACTTTATAAAGTAACTTCAGTCAATTCAGTATGAAAAGTAATTTCATTGCTTATTTTGATTAAAACACAATTGAATGCACGAAATCAAAAGTCGGGTGTTTGGTAAAAATGTTGAGAATAAGATAGTTGAAATGTCACTATTCCTTGTGTCCTAGCTTAAGCTTCTCAGTTGTGTTTTTGGACATTCCAACTAAAGTTTCCGATTTACTAGTTTAGGAAATAATCAACACTTATAAATGACAAATTAATCATCGAATATTATAAAAATTACATGTATAACGTCACGATTATCATCAATAACCACATTATGTTATATACTCATCAAAATCACTTCTGAAAATATACTCAAATTAACTTTTTTAAACAGTACTCCATCTGTTCCCCTATAATTGTCTTTTTTTTTTCATTTTTGGATGCCCCCTTTTATTGTTTCATATCATATTTGATAACATTTGTGTGACTCTAATTCATTCTTACTTTATTCTCATTTTATCAACCACAAAAGTTCTTTTTTCTCAAAATCCACATCACTCCCTTTCGTCCAATATTAGGGGGGCGAAGGTAGTATATAATATGTAACACCGTCCCCAAATATATTTACTTTTATGTAAATAATGAATTGAACCTTACTAAGGGATTAATGAATTTACGAAGTTGTAAATTTTTATTATTTCTTTCGCGTGAATAGTAAATTGCACGTGGGACCCACACCGGGAGCGGGGGCCGCCCGACATTCCCGAGACCATATATTTTATTCATCTTGGTCTAGATAGTAAATATATAGTGTGGATATTTCATTTGGGCCATGGAAAGGGCCAGAGTTGACCGATTGGTCAAAAGAAGCCCAAATGACCGGTACTAGTAATTTAACAGATAACAGCCCGAACCGAATTTCGGAGGCTTATAAATTAAAGTTGGGGAATGCATATTCATTATACATGTCATAATGATTAAGAGCACACAATATATTTTATTTGACCCGATAAAATAAAATATGTTTAAAACTGTCCGAAAAATACAACTTTCGGGACCGATTGTACACATCGGGACACAAAGGGATGACCTCCCACATGAGTGGGGGCCACCCCACGTTTTTGTGAGCTGGGATGGGCAAGGAAAAAGGGCTGGTTGACTTGTGAGGGGAGAGAGTGAGGTGATGAGCATCAAAGGTACACTCATGGACCCCATTCTCCCTCACTCATTGTCCAAGCAAGACAAAAGAGCCAACTCCAACCCCCCTCACCCCATTAGCTCGATCACACCATCCAAGGAGGAGAGAAGGAGCTTCAAACTCACCTCCATTGCTGCAAATTTGAGCTCAAGCTTTAGTGCTCAAAGGAAGAAGATTAAAGAGGGAAAAAGTTGGGAAGAGTGTGAACAATTAAGGTAATGACCTTATATTAACTTTTCCTTTATTTTTCTTCCACCATATGAAGTATATATCATATGAAGAACCTTTAGTATGGTTCCATATGTTATAAGTATGGATTCATGGGTTGGAAGGTGGTTCTACGTCCAAAAACGGACTTAGAAGCCAAAACGACTGGTTCACCGGAAAATAACCTTTTTGAGGTTATTTGTATTAATATGGGTTTTATGATTATAAAACTTGTTAGGAACTTGTGAAAGGTATTTCAAGTGATTTCACAAAGTTGGAAAAGTCGTCGGAGTTGTCGCCGGAGTTGACCGAAAGTCGCCGGAGCTTCACCGGAGTTCAACCAAGAGGAGTAGAACTTCATAACGCTAGTTCAAGGTGAGTGGACGGCTTAATATCTTATAACTTTTGGGTTAATTATGAGATTACCTAAATAAATGTTATATGTGTTCATAATGATGTTTAAAAGATATTTAAACATGTGATTAGCCAACATTATTAAGTTGTATGAAAAGAATTAATTGTTTATACATGAAATATGATATTAGGAAT